ATGATACATGTGCACTGGAAAACAAGGTGTACTGTGCTGCTGTTGGATACATGCTTACGAAATACAATTGATTGATTGTGTTATTTAGACTTCCTGTATCTTTATTTTCTTTCTAGTTTTTCTGTCCTTCATTGAAAGTGGTGTGCTAAAGTCTTCTACTATTATTTAGAGTTGAATATTTCTCTTTTCAACTCTGTTAAAGAGTTTGTTTTCTGCATTTTGGAGCTATGTCATTGGGTGGGTAGATATTTGCTATGTCCTCCTAGTGGAATGATCCTTTAATCATTATAAAATGTCCTTCTTTGTCTCTTATAATGGATTTTGACTTAAAGTTTATTTTATCAGAGACTATTACCCCACCATTCCTGCTCTCTTTTGGTTATCATTTGCTTGATATATATATGTATATATCAAACCCCATACAGGGTCACCATGAATTGGAACCAACTTAACAGCACTTAAAAACAAGGAGAGATTGGTGGGTTTTTACCCACCAACCTCATAGTTAGCAGTGCACTGCTTATCCTATAGCATCATACCATATATATATATATATATATACCATATATGTGTATGTATGAGTCAGTACCAACTCAAGAGCACGTAACAAAAAAAATAACATACTTGTATTTGCATCCTTTGACTTTCAACATATTTATGCCTTTGTGTCTAAGGTGTGTCTCTTGTTGGCAACATATTGATGAATGTTTTGCTTTTTAAAATACATTCTGCATTCTCATCTCTGACTAGTGCACTTAAACCTTTTACATCCAGTGTGATTATCAATGAATATGAATTTTTCACTGCCATTTTGTTATTTGTTTTTCTGCATGTGTGGTGTTAACAGTTTCTTTGTTTCACTTAATTATCCATATTGAGTTATTGTGTTTGTGAATTTTCTTTTTGTATTCTTTATTATAGTTGATTTTATGTTTATTGAGTCTTAAATATTCTTTTCTAGATTTTGGTGAGTAGCTACATTAATTTTCTTTGTGGTTACTCTGAAATTTACCTTTATCTTCCTAAATTTAAACAGTCTGATATATTTTGATATCATCTTGACTTCCTCTCCATATGGAAGTTCTGTAACTACATCATTTATTCCACTTTTTTGTTTTAAAATTGTCATCGTTTGACATCTCTAGTGCCAGGTTTTCTGTTTTGCAGTTTTATTTTACTTTTGAGAACTCTTTGATCTGGGTTGCTAGCTGAGTGATGCTGTTGTATGTCTTCATCTCAGGTTGTTGTCTGACGTTACTAGGTTTCTGTCTGAAGGACTTTCTAGTCTATTTCTTGTAAGCTTGGACTGTCTTTTACAGATTCTTTTAATTTCTGTTTATGTGGAATGCCCTAATTTCACCATCATATTTGAAAGAAAAATTTGCTGGAGTCTTAATTGGCAATTCTTTTCCTTCAGAGTTTATGTATATCATCCCATTGCCTTATTATGTGGCTTCTGCTGAGAAATTAGTGCTGAGTTTTATTGGTGCCCCTTTGTAAGTGATATTTTCGTTTTCACCAGCTGCTTTCAGAATTCTTTCTCTTTGGATTTGAAAAGTTTGACTACGACATGCGCTGGTGGCTTTCATTTGCAGTCTATCCTGTATTGGGCTCACAGAGCTTCTTGGATAGAAATCTTGTTTTTCATAGTAGAGAAGTTTTCTGCCAATAAATCTTCAAAAATTCTCTCTGTACTTTTTTCCTCAGCCTCTTCTGGAATTCTTAATGTGTGTAAATTATTCCTTTAGATAGTATCCCACATGCTTAGATTTTCTTCATTTTTCTTCATTGTTTTTTTTCTGATTGTTCCTCAAACAAATTAGTATTATGGGATTTGTCCTCTATTTCACGGATTCTTTCTTCTGTCAATTCAATTTTCTTTTTATATCCTTCCATTGAGTCATCTAGGAGTCTTGGTGTGGTGCTGTAGGATAAGTACTGGACCACAAGGATGGTTTGAACCATTAGGTTGGTGGTTCAAACTCACCAGCCACTCCTTGAAAACCCTGTACAGGATCCCTATGAGTCAGAACCAACTCGATGGCACTTACCACCAACAATAACATTAAGCCATCTATTTCTGACATTTTATTAATAATTGTCTGGATTTCTAGTTGTTATGCTTATATAGTTTCTAATTATTTTATTTAGCTTTTGTATTGTTTTCCTGAAATCTAGGGTTTTGCCTATATTCTCCATATCTCTTTGAAGATCCTACATGTAAATCTTTTAAATTCCTTATCCTTGCATTTCTTCTACAGGAATCTTGTCTACCCCTTTGTTTTGCTTACTTGATTGAGCCATCTATTCCTGTTTCTTCACATGATTTTTATTGTCTGCTATCTCCAAGGCATTAAAGTGTGTGTGTACATTTCTTGTATGCATGCTTGTTATGTGCTGATATGTTTTTTGTTTCAGTGTATCAGGAACTTTGTGCCTTCTATTTCTCGTTAGAATGCCTGTATTCCTTTGTATTATTTTAATTGCTATTGTTTTGTGGGTCTGGTCTATGTGTGACTTTGATGGTGTATGTTGGATGGACATGATTTCCTCTCATTAGTGGGTATGGTGGGTCACACACATGTGTAAGTCCCTTACCGGACTGAAAGGCAGTGGGAGAAAGGTTCTTTTCGTAATATTGGATGATGTTTTGGATGGTTAGGGCCCCTTCATAGCCTTTAAGGGACCATGGGGTCTTTCTGGGTTGGTGCTAATAGTTAGTGTATTCTCTGGAGGTCAAGGCAGGACATCTCTGTATCCCCGGTGAAGAAGTACTCCACAAATGGATGGGGTAGGTCTGCTGTACATACACTGATTGTGTCAGGTGGAAGGTACTAAGGGGGTTTAGTGAAAGTGCAGATAGCCTGCAGAAGCTGTTTGGAAGTTGAATGTATTGTGTAACATTATGGCTTGGTGGACAATGGATAAGGGCAATTGACTCTTTTGTTCATCATTTGGCAGAGGTACAGATGGCACATGTTAGGATGTGACTGGCATTGCTCACAAAGCACAGTGTCTGTCTGCCACACCAAAATAATCTATACTGCATGGAATAGTCACAGAATTCATATTCTGTTATCTAATGCTTATGCTGTTGTTAATTGTGAGCTAATCAGAAATGTTTTCCCCAGCTCTTAGAAATCTTCCTAAAATGTGTTTGTCTACTTTCTCCCTTTGTAGAAGTGAATTCAATCCCAAACTCAATTTCCTGTAACTTTATAGATCTTAATCACTATCCATGTTTTGTCACATAGTATGTTAAACCGAGTCCTGGTGTAATGCTGAGGGTTAATGCACTGGACTGCAACATCACTTTGAACTGCAAGATTGGTGGTTCAAGCTCACCAGCTGCTCCTCAGAAATCTATACAGGGTCGCTATGTCAATGCCAGTGCATTGACCTGCAGTGCCACACCAGGGCTCCTAACTGGTACTACAGTATAGAAAAAAGTAGAATTTAACAACAAAAGAAAGTGTGACATAACAATACTTCAGTGTTTCACAAAAAGCTTCTGCATTTCTTGGTGCTCTATTGCCTAACAAGTTTGAAAATGAGTATCTTGTAGTCAATTATGATTTTATTTTCAAAATTAATAAGGTAGAAACAAGTGTTGTAATAAAGGATTTTCTGATCTGTGAATTTATATATATGATAAACTTTGGAAACATCAGAACTAAACCACTCCCTGCTCTGAAGACCAGCACCCAAATCATCAAAACCTCCCCTGGACAGCAAAGCAGCTATCTTGCAAATTTCTTGGCATAGAGTGAGGACCTCCAGTTCTGCATCAATTTGTCGAAATATTTCAATTTGTATTGTCAATTCCTGGAGCCTTGTTTTTTGCCAATACCTTCAATGCAGTTTGTGCTTCTTACTTCAGTATCATTTCCAACTTTTTATTTTCACAATATCCCCCTAACCTAGAGCATTGTGTGTTTCAAAGCCTGATTGAAACCCTATATCTTCCAGAGAGCCTTTTCTGGATCTGACTTGTTTATGCCCTCTAATCGCACTTATAATTTATAATGGTAATTTTTATTCGTCACATTCTACTTTGAAAATCCATTATTTCTGTTTACCCTACAATGAAGACCAGTGCTGGAACGTGAACGTGGCTACACTCCACCAGACCAGTCGTAGTAAGGTGCTGCACACACAGTGGGCATTCAGATCCTACAGGTATCTGTCTACTGGAAATGATGCAGATCAAGCACTGCTCTCGAATGCTATTAAATGGAATGGTTTTGACTTACTATTTTCCTACAAGGGAATGTCTAAAGGAGCTCTGGTAGCGTAATGGTTATGAATCGAGCTGCAAACCTTAAGGTCAGCAGTTCGAAACTATCAGCCGCTCCGCGGGAGAAAGATGAGGCTTTCTGCTCCCGTAAAGATTTACAGCCTGGGAAACCCTGTACAGGGTCCCTGTGAGTCGGAAGCGACTCTATGGCACTTAACAACAACAATGGGGGATGCCTAACGAGTCGGACCACACGTCCCAGCAGTCAGTGCGGCATGGCCCTGGGTCCTGGGTCCCACTGACCTTGGGTTCTCGGTCCACCGCAGGTTTTTTTCCAGAGTAGGACTCCAGTCAGAATATTGGGACGTGTGACAGGGAAGGATGGGGAACTAACAGGGCAATACGACACTCACCTGGATAGACAGTGCACTTTTTTGTCTAAGCAGCGAAGGCAGGAGGCACAATTCACCAGGGATTTAGGAACGGGCACCAGGGGCGTCACACCGATCCCAACGACGGCATCTCATGGCGGCCACCAGTCCAGCCGGTCTAAGAGCATGCGCAGTGCGGCTCCTCGGTCCACCGGTCTGGAACGTGAACCTGCGGGACTCTTCATTACCACTTGTCTGGTTCACTCGCTAGCTGCGCTAGAACTTCAAGTTACGGCACGTGTGCCTGTCACTACGCCCCTCCTGACAGAGTGCCACAGTGGACTTTGTTGGTCCCGGTATCTTTTCTGGAAGAAGCTTGAGATAGGTGTTGCCGGGTCGTGGGAGCCCCAAGCCTCCCCCGTGAAAGTGAAAAAAAAACCCAACTGAATCCTCAGCGGGTGAGTATGGGTATTGGCGCTACCCAGCGGCGGTAACCGACGGCGTCGCGAGAGCCCCGCGACAGAGAGCGGTCTCGGCCAGGGGGCGCCCACCGAGGCGCGGAGCTGGCTGCGCGGGCGCGGCGCTCTATAGCACCCCTGTGCAAGGCACCGCCTTCCTATCACCTCTTTCATTTCGGGTGCTTTGGCCTTGGCATCCAAAAGAGTCCTCTCTATAATGTCAACCGTGCTTCCTATTCCAGAGCTCTCTATATGACGTGTAGCTAATTTTATAGATGCTCTTGTTGTTGTTAACTGCCGTCGAGTCGATTCTGCACAACAGAACGAAACACCCGGTCCTGGGCCAACCTCACGATCGTTGTACGTTTGAGACCACTGTTGCTGCCACTATGCCAATCCATCTTTGTTTCTCCGCCCCTCCACGTTACCAAACATGATATCCTTCTTCAATGACTGGTCCCTCCTGATAATATGTCTGGAGTTACGAGAAATGAAGTCTGACCACCTTGGCTTCTAAGAAGCATTCTGGCTGTACTTCTAGTACGGATTTGATCGTTCTTCTGGCAGCCCATGACACTTACAACGTCCTTCTCCAACACCCTAACTCAAATGCATCAATTTTATAAATACACTCGTATTTTTAAATCTTAATCTAGTGTCCACAACTCGTTTGTCAGTTTGTCGTACTGTGGTGGCTTGTGAGTTGCTGTGATTTTGGAAGCTATGCCACCGGTGTTTTAAATACCAGCAGGGTCACCCATGGTGGCCAGGTTTCAGATGAGCTTCCAGAAGAAGACAGACTAGGAAGAATGCTTGACGAACTACTTCTGAATATTTAGTCACTGAAAACCTTATGAATGGCAGAGAAACACTGTCAGATATAGTGCCGGAAAATGAGCCCCTCAGGTTGGAAGGCACTCAAAATGCGACTGGGGAAGAGCTGCCTCCTCAAAGTAGAGTTGACCGTGATGACACGAATGGAGTAAAGCCTGTGGGAGAAAAGCCCACGCGGGACTTTCATTTGCTGATGGGGCACACCCAAAATGAATAGAAACAGCTGTAAACATCCATTGAAAATCGGAACATGGAATGTACTAAGTATGAATCTGAGGACTAAGGTGCGCCTGACCCAAGCCATGCTATTTTCAATAACCTCATATGCATGCGAAAGCTGGACAGTGAATAAGGAAGATGGGAGAAGAATTGATACTTTTTTGAGTTATGGTATTGGAGGAGAATATTGAAAGGGTCATGGGCTGCCAAAAGAACCAATAGATGCGTTTTGGAAGAAGTGTGGCCAGAGTGCTCCTTGGAGGCCAGGATGGCCAAACTTAGTCTCTCATACTTCAGACATATTTTCAGGAGGGACCAGTCAGTGGAGAATGATATCATGTTTGGTAAGGTAAAGGGTCAGAGAAAAAGAGGAAGCCCCCCAACAAGATGGATTGGCCAAGTGGCAGCATCGATGGACTCAAGTGTGGCAACAGTAGTGAGGTTGGCCCAGGATCGGGCAGTGTTCTGTTCTGCTGTGTGTGGGGTCACTGTGAGTCGGTACCAACACGAAGGCACCTAACAACAACAAGAAAATTCTTGGAGTCCTGGTGTGGCACTGTGGGTTAACGTGCTGGACAGCATGGTCAGTTTGAACCACAAGGTCAATGGTTCAAGCTCACCAGCTGCTTCTTGGAAACCTTATACAGGGTCGCTATGAGTCAGAACCGACTCAATGGCACTTTACTACAATAGGAAATAATTTGTATATGTATTGTATGTATGCTGCTGCTGCATAAATATATAGGTTCTAGAAAATTATCCTAAAGAATGTTAATCAGAATACCAAATCTACCATTGGTACCTGTCAAAAATTCAGGCTTGGTTATCTAAATTTGGCATCAAAGGACATAGAAAATTATTTTGACCTGAGAAAGCTTTACGTGTCCAGCTATTATCAGCCAGTTACCATTACTGTGGACGAGGAGTCTCAGGATGGCTCCTTTAGAATGATTATTTCTGATCTGGGCAATATAGCAGGACCAGTTGGAAAATATGTTTAAAAGACAGATTACTGAATTCTACCATTTGAGTCATGGTGTGGTGCTGTGGGTTATGAGCTGGACTGCAAGGTCAGTTTGAACTGCAAGGTTGGTGGTTCAAACTCACCAGCCACTCCTTGGAACCCTATACAAGGTCACTGTGAGTCAAAACCGACTTGATGGCACTTACAAACAATACCACCACTAGCGTGGTGTTTAGAAATTTGATTATTAATAGCTTTGCAGAATAAGGAGCCAGTGCATTAGACTGGGTAAGTTGATTAAATGTAATTCCTGGTAGAACTGCCAGCCTGAACAAAAACGACAACATGTTACCCCAAAGTCAGTAACAGCATTCGATGGAGCTATTGATCATAATCTATATGCATAATATTTTCTGTTGTCTTTTAAAAATAACAACATAGTGGATATTAAGCCACTTATTTAATTGGTAACTAGATAAAAGATGCAGTTACTTTTGGAGGCTATACTATTTCATGATACTAAGCTACAAATGATCATAGAGAAGCCTGTTCCCACTTTGTTTAAAAACTGCATCAAGTTACTGGATAGGATATACCTTGTTGTTTTATTCACTTTGAAGTTTAAATTCTCTCATTCAACAAATACTTAATGGAGTGCCTGATCGATTCCAGGCACTGTTCTGGGTACTGGTGATAGAGCAAACGAAATCCCTTCCTTTATGGAGCTTACATTTTTGTAAACAATTTAAATAAGTAAAACCCATAGCTTATTGGAAGATGATAGGTGGTCTTGAGGAAAATCAAACTGGAAAAGAGACTAGAAAATGTAAAGATGGTGGTGACAGACCCAGCAGGATGGTCACAGAGGGCCTCACTAAGACCTAAAGGAAGTGAGGGGCAATACAACTGGTAATTAGGTTCTACCTGCTTGGACCCTGTGGCCCTACCAGCGCCCAGAATTTCTTCATTCTCTTGACTTTCCCAATCTTGAGCAATTTTCAGTAGCTTCTCTTCCTCCTAGACTGATGAGTATCATGGTAGTTGGATCTGCCGTAAATTCAAATTAGTTAACCCTCTTCTAGTGCTGTTTGCTAAACTGCACAGGTTAAAGAAAAGGAATTGGAGAGAAAATGTAGATGGAAGAAAATTAGCAGATTGTTAGAGAAATTTGGCAGTAATTAGAAAAAGGATAAATATGATAGAATTTCTGAAGTCTCTGACCATATGCAAGCGTTCGCGATGCTCTGACAGTAACCCTTCCAGAATGTAAGCAGCAATACAGTATCTGTGGCATTCCATTCTCCAAAGACCTTTGCAGGATGCCTATGAATATGGAAACTAAATATTGCCATTTTATACAACTCAACTAGATTTCTTTCTTAATTGTCTGGTTCTCTGTGGTTCGCATAGTGGTTACGAATCGGGCTGCGAACCTTAAGGTCAGCGGTTCGAAACTACCAGCTGCTCCGCGGGAGAAAGATGAGGCTTTCTGCTCCCGTAAAGATTTACACCCTCGGAAACCCTGTACAGGGTCGCTATGGGTCGGAACCGACTCGATGGCACATAACAACAACAACAACAATGCTACCAGAGCGCCTTGATCATATATATATATAATTTCCCCCCTTTTAGGGTGGGGTTTTTTTCTTAGTCTTTTAAAATAATGGTCCTATATGCAGTATTTCTCCTTTTGTGACTAATTTCCCTCAGCATAATGTCCTCAAGGTTCATCCATGTTATGCGGCAGCTTGCAGTTTCCTTGTTGTTCTTCAAGGTAGCATAGTATTCCATTGTGTGTATATTCCAAACTTTGTTTATCCATTCTTCAATTGATGGGCACTTAGGCTGTCTCCATCTTTTTGCTATTGTATACAGTGCTATTATGAACATTGGGGTGCATATGTCTACTCATGTTATGGCTCGTATTTCTTGTGGGTAAATACTAAGTAGAGGATTGCTGGATCATAAGGTATTTCTATTTCCAACCTTCTGAGGAAGCACCATATTGCTTTCCAGAGAGGTTGGACCATATTGCAACCCCACCACCAATGCAGGAGCATCCCAGTCTCTCCACATCCCTGTCAGCATTTATTGTCCGCTACTTTTTTGATCTTTGCTGTTAATTGCTGGTATGAGATGATATATCTCATTGTTGTTTTGATTTGCATCTTTCTAATGGCTATTGATTGTGAACATTTCTTCATATGTTTGTTGGCTGCCTGGATCTCTTCCTTGGTGAAGTGTTTGTTCATGTCCTGTGCCCATTTTTTAAATTGGGTTGTCTTTTTCTTGTAGAGGTGTTGTAGTTTCCTATATATTTTAGAAATGAGTCCCTTCTCTGATGTATCATTGCAAAAGAGTTTTTTCCCATTCTGTGGGTTCCCTTTTTACTCTTTTGGTGAAGTCTTTTGATGTACAAATGTTTTTAATGTTTAGTATGTCCTACTCATCTATTTTGTCTACTTTTGTTTATGTAATTTTCAAAATGTTTGGTAGTCTGTGTATGCCCTGAATTAGAGCCCTCACATTTGTCCCTATTGTTTCATTGATGACTTTCATAATTTTGGGAATCACATTTAGGTCTTTAATCTATGCTGAGTTGGTTTTTGTATAGGGCGTGAGGTAAAGGTCTTGTTTCCATCTTTGGCATATCGCTTACTAGTTCTGCCAGCACCATGTGTTAAAGAGACTCTCTCCTCCCCATGCAATATACCTAGGCACTTTGTTGAAAATCACTTGGCTGTATGTGGATGGGTTAATTTCTGGATTTTCGATTCTGTTCCATTGATCAATGTATCTTTCATTGTACCAGTACTAGGCTGTTTTGACCACTGTAGCCATGTAGTAAATTTTGAGATTGTGAAGTAAGAGGCTTCCAACCTTATTCTTCTTCTTAAGCAGTGCTTTGCTTATCCTAGGTCTCTTTTCTTTCCATATAAAGTTTGTAATTGTCTTTTCCATTTCTTTGAAGAATGTCATTGGAATCAGGGTTGGGATTGCATTTTATGTGTAAATTGCTTTGGGCAATATTGACATTTTCATGTGTTGAGTCTTCCTATGCAGAAACATGGTATGTTCTTCCACTTTTGTTAAGTCTCTTTTGTTTCTTGTTGTAGTGTTTTGTAATTTTATTTGTATAGGTCCTTTGTTTCTCTGG